AAAAATTTTTGCCCCCCCCCCCCCCAGTTTTCTTAACGAACTTTTAATTATTTAGACCAGAAATAGATTATTATTTTGAGGAGCATGTGTGCACCATCTGAGCTAGGAATGTCAATTTTCGATAATTTCCATGATCGATCGGCGTTTAAATTAACGATCAATTAATCGTTAACCTTAATGCTGCAAAATGCATCTATTGCAGCGGAACGCAGTCAGGATGTGCAAAAGCCACTCAAAAAAAAAAAGGAATGCGTTCTCACCCGAATTAAAGGGGTTTTAGTCTGAATAAAATGCTAGTTATAGCATTTAAAATAAAATGATCTCAAACGTAACTGCGGCACGTGTGGCTATGCTGCGCAGTCAGTGAACCGCTTCCATCGGCGCTGCTGCAGCAAAACACACTTTTGCTCACATGAAACATTATTATGTGAGTATTATGACCAGTACCTAATTTGATCCTGCTGGATCCTGTTCCGGAAAATGTCAGATTTTGAATTGTTGCATTCAGGCCTATTTGTTTTTAAAATCCATTTACAGTGCATTAGATCGTGACAGTGCGTGCGTGCGTGCATACGAGACGGAGAGAGCGCGGGTTTAGCTAGATTTATTTGGAGGTTATTGCTCACGTCTCATTCGGCACAAATCCAAATGTTTGCATATTCACATTGTATTTGAATGTTAAACTATTATTTATAATGTAAACTAGGCTTGTACTTTACACGCATTCGCATATAGACGGAAAAGATCATCCTCTTCACATGAGCAAAAACGTCCTTGGCATAACACCAGAGTGGACCGGTATACTACGGTCTATTTAAACTGACCAGTGTAACCTTTTATATGTTTGGTTGACTGTATTTTATTTTGATAATGAACAGACTGCGATGTAAGTTTGAATTGCTAGAATATGTGGTGTGTGTGCGCGCGAGGCACCGGCGCGATCGAACAGCTGAAACATAAAAAAAACTAAATTTTTGGAGTAAGATATAATCTGCAAGTGTTTACTTTTATTTTTGCACACTCACAATAAAAAACAGAAGATTTGTGCTTTTGTAAAATTAAGCAAACAAACAGAATGCGCGTTGTCATCCTTTCCTTCCCGTGAACTTGTTTATGGAGCGCCACGCCACACTTCTGTTTTAAATCTGTTAGCTTAATGAAGTCAGATGGCCTATATTTCGCATATATATATTTTTTTTAATGAAAACAAAATTGTTATTTTTATTTGAGGTCTGTTACTTACATAGGCTATACATTTTCCTTAAAGCATCCCATTTTGTCCCAGGGCTTGAAAACCTGTGCCCTAGACTAGTTAGGTCCTGCAGAATCTTTCTCTTAATTGTGGCATCACCGTTTAGTGACATCATTGAATGCTCCGTCAGTGTCGGTCACAGTGCCTTTTAATTGCTGTTTTGAATCCAGCAGTTATTTATTTACAAATTATAAGCTCTGATTATGACAAGTGTGGTATAAAAGCTTTGTTTATTAGAGGAATAATTGGTTAGCTGGAAAATGTTACATCGCGATCATGCTTTTGGATGCTGTTCGAGCCCATATAGCCTACATTTACGCGGCTTTGTTCTGGTTTGCTGGTTGAACACGAATTTCCACAAATTCAATAATATTTAGGCAGTTTCTTTGCCAAAATCCTCACCGTCTAACCCTCTAATTTCGCAGGTTAATTTTATTGTCATTCACTTTTTATCACTGTTTTCGCATCTCTTACTGTGGTAAACATGCGGGAAGGGAAATGCAATATTTCATGGCCATGAATTAAGAATTTGTTTTATTAATTTGTTCCCTCATTTTAGTTAAATCATGGGTTATCTAAGGAACAAAATTAATGAAACATGGACAGTGGCCACATTAATAAAACAAATTAACAAGTTGTAGGAATGAATAGCCTAGCCCAGGGGTGCCCAACCCTACTCCTGGCGATCGACTGTCCTGCAAAGTTTAGCTCCAACTCTAATCAAAGACACCTGCCTTTAATGTTTAAGTGATCCTGAAGACCCTAATTAGTTGCTTCAGGTGTGTTTGATTAGGGTTGGAGCTGAACTTTGCAGGACAGTCGATCGCCAGGAGCAGGGTTGGGCACCCCTGGCCTAGCCTATCTGTCCTGTGTCCTGCAGCCCTGAAATGGAAATGACTTAGTTACTACATTTCTGTTGCTTTCCATGTTGAAGAACTTTGTGTTGTTTCTATTTTAATGTACTTTTAAAGTTTAAATCACATTAAAAGCTTAATTTGTAATTATGAGTGAATGATGATGCATGTATATACCGTCACCGTCATTCACAGCCGTTCGCACGTGTTTTGCGCACGAGCCGTACACAGCCCAAAATTAAACGACTTGAATACTGAAATTTTGGTACCGTGACAACACTATTATGAATGAATGATGATGCATTTATATACCATAGGATATAACAATAGAAAGACAGACAAAACCGAAATGCATGTGTGAATTACCACATGTGAGTGCAGTGTTACTGAATGAGCATTTTAAATTGATATGAATAAGAAGCGCAATGTCACACCTCTGTTCATTGATTTGCACTGGCTAGCAATAGCTGCTCGCATAAAATTCAAGGCAACCACTAGCTCTGCACCCCTTTACCTAAATTCACTACTTCAGAATTATGTGCCCTTCAGAAGCTTGCGTTCTGCAAGTGAACAGTGCATTGTAGTCTCATCCCAAAGAGGCACAAAATCATTTTCAGACTTCTTGTAGTCTCATTCCAAAGAGGCACAAAATCATTTTCACATACTTGTAGTCTCATTCCAAAGTGGCACAAAATCATTTTCACAGACTTCTACATTAACTGTTCCCTCCTGGTGGAATGACCTGCCCAACTCCATTCAAACAGCTGAGTCTTTAGCCATCATCAAGAAACGACTAAAAACATCTCTTCCATCTACACTTGACCCTCTAACACTAGAACTCTTCATTCTATTCTATTCTATCTACTCGTTTTCTTTATTAAAAAAAAAGCTTGACCCTCTAACTCTAGAACTCTTCACTCTATTTCTATTATATCTATTCTATATTAATTTGACTCTAACACTAACTCTATCTATTTTCTATCTACTCTTTATTCTTTTTATTTATAAAAAAAAAAAAAACTTGCTATGTGTACTGCGTTAGACTAAACTGGACTTGTCACAACACTTATGTTGTTGCTCTTTTGTTGTTTCTTTTACCCTCATTTGTAAGTCACATTAGATAAAAGCATCTGCTAAATGACAAAGAGGCAAGGCTCTGGTCTCTTGAAAGATAAAATTTGGAGGGCGTCTGCTTAACTTGCATAAATGCTTAAAAGTGTAAATTGGTTGAAACAGTAACCGATTTATTGCTTCTTCCTCACAGAAATTAATGTTCATTGAAGCCCCACCCACAACTAACATCATCAGTGAAGCCCCACCCACAACAATCACATCATCAGTGAAGCTCCACCCACAACAATATCATCATCAGTATAGCTCCACCCACAACAATCACATCATCAGTGAAGCTCCTCCCACAGCAATCACATCATCAGTGAAGCTCCTCCCACAAACCCTGCAGAATGAAACCCACTGAAGAACCAACAGGTTGGTGTTTATTCTTGACTCTTCAATAATAATGCTGAAGGTTATAAGGCTTCAAGCAGATTTAGATTTGTTGTAATAGGAAAATCTTTAGAACTCTGCAATAATAAGGGACATTTTCTACAAAGTGGATACTTTTTTTTTTTTTTTTTTTTTTAAAATAAAAAAAAATCTACATTTTTAACGTGAAAAAATCTAAAACTTAACAGGTTAAGTTTATTACAACAATGGTTTATAGATGTAAGCCTATATGCAGCCACTGAGTACTACAGCCAAATAGTGGCTATTGATATTTTTTAAATTTTGATATTTTTATGCCATCATATGTCACCAAAGTCGAAAGATGAAAATTTAAACGGATTGCTATCACAAAAGAAAGTAAAAAAAACTTTTTACATGTGTATGAGTCGTTTACAAACCTGTTGTCCAACTAGTGTTGTCAAAAGACCCGGTATTTCGGTACCAAGTCGGTACTGAAAAAATGAAAACGTTACGGTACCAGGTTTTCTTAAGTACCGGTGGTACCGAGTACCCGGTCAACCCGGTTCTTGATGCGCTATCCTC